TCTTCCAGTAAAGCCAATCGACAGCTGGTCAAGAGGAATCTGCCGTCGTCTTCTGGTGGAACCAACCTTTAAATCTCTTCACCCAACACCTTCACTCGAAATGGTAGTAAGCGTTGTTCTCTTCATTGTAAATTCAGTACGGTTGTTTTTTTCCCTGCTTCCCCCTTAAACGTAAGGCTATAGCACTCAGAGCTCAGTCCCTGTAAAATGGTTTGACCATGGGTTGTGTCCACATCTGGGTCTAATTGTACAATTTACCCACGAGACCTGTAAGTCTCAATTTAGCTTGAAGTTACACCCTTTGTTGTTTGGTATTTTAGTAAAGGCGTTTTGGCCATTTGTGGATGGATGAAAGCCAAGATTTGAATTAAACGACAGTCTTCAGTTAAACTTTTGTCCAAATGTGTGGATTGGCTACGGTTTCGGTCTGTCTCCGACATAAATACCACCTCTAAAATGAGATGAAGTGACATGAATGCTATGCGAAACGTCAGCTCTACTCATTGTGGGAAAATTCTACTGCCAATCATTCATCACCTTAAACGAAATAGGGTGAATACAGGACATGAAGCCATTCTGCTTCTGTTCATTTTATTATATCGAAAGGGACTAAGTGTTTTGTCTACATTACCAAAGTGCTAGAGGGAAAATCCTACAAGATCATGTCAACCCACAACAGGTGGCTTTAACTCGACTCCACTTGTGACAGAGTAACCAAGAAAAAAGAATGAATATAGACTTGATCTCCAAGCATATTAGTCTTTGGAATTTTTGTTTACGTTGTAAATAGCGTAATACATGTTATTTCATGGACTCTCGAGCTAATTGACGACTGGCTATTTATAGTGCAATAACGTGAATTCCTAACTCAGCAACATAATCATGCTAAATATACATAAATCTTCGCAGTAAAGAATTTAACCAAATAAAATGTCATTGATGGTGATATGCCATTCCAAATATTTTATCTTATAGTCTTGACCTTCCCTAGCTTTTGCAATTTAGCCGGAGCCACCGGGAGGCCTTGATGACCAAGTTCTTTGCCGGAGTAGTGATTATTGGTTACGTAATCTGACCGTTGTCTTGGCATATTCATACATGTTTCGCAGGCCTCACGATCAGCATCGTTAGTGAGAGACGCCATCATTAACACAGAGCTACAATTTGTCAAAGTGATAAGTAAATGTAATGCCTTTGAACAATTTTCCGTTCGGCTTTTGTGGCAAGTTTACATCTCCCTCTCCTAGTTTCGGGCGCCGTGTTTATATCCCTTAACTTTATTCCATTTAACCAGATTATGTCTTAGGTTGCACCAATGTTACTATAGAGTGTGTCCCTTCAAATGAAGTTTATGAAGAGTACTCACCTTTACTAATAGTTTGAGATTCCGTCCGCAGGGCTTCTGTGACCCAATCATTCTGAAATCACTACATCCAACTTGTCAAATGTTACTTGCTGCAGATTACCGTCGAACTGGCTCTCTATAAGCCTTCGATTCCTGTCCTCCAGATATGTACTCCCATGAATGTTTCGAAAATATGATAGGGCATATGCAAATGCCTTAGCGAGGATCACATTCTAAACTGGGATTCTCATTTTCCAGTCCCTTAGGCTCCTATCACTCCGTCATCTTTTTCCATCACTATGGGCTTCACATTTTACTTAATAATTAGGTCAGAAATTAACAAAATTGCCTCATCAATAAAACCACAAGACCAAAATCCTCTGTAAGTATACTTTTCATGTTTGCTTTAATTGCAAACTAGTTTTACAGATTTTGTATACATATTGTTCTCCAAAGGAGAGAATTGACGACAAGTTATACCTTGTCCAAAAAAAAGCAAGCCAAATTTTTCTTTTTCTCTAGAAAAAAGTTGTTATTTGTTTGTACATGTTTCCATGTCTTTAATTATGAACGTACCTGCGAATATGATTGTTTATATTGCACCGCTTGGCCCTGCTCATCTAAGTGTTCTACGTTCTATTGTTTCGGCCACCAGGCTTTCCATTAGTAATCCCCATGTGATTCTCACCCCAGCTGATATTTTTTTGATGGTGACCATTTCGTACATCAATCCTTTTAATATATTATTGCTATTATTGCTATTTATCAATAATTATATATAATCTCCGCTACCATGCAATGTTCATTTGCACACATTTTCGTAGATAAAGGTTCATTATTCTCTTCACTTTCGTTTTGTAAACAGGTAATGGCCTCGGTCTCACATCGACACTGTCTCCCATTGATTGGCATCTGCCTCTCCTCTGACCGACACTGTCTCGTCTCTGCCTTCGTGCCGGGAGGCAGTCTCGATCGTTATCTGAGGGCCAACGAGGGCCAGCTGAGCAGCCTGACAATGCTATCATGGGCCGAGCAGATTGCTGATGGTATGGCCTATCTGGAGTACCGCGGCATCATACATCGGTACGTGACGACTGTATTGCTTACTGCCTAGAACTTGGCCTAATTTCTGTCCAAGTAATCAGCATGAAAAATCACTCTCAAAGTCTAGTTGTGCCGTTCAG